TTATCTGCTATTTTATAAATGCAACTATTATGTTCTTAATAAATAAAAGCAAAATAAAACTGCTCAATTTGGAACTGTCAATAATTTTAGGATATCACTTCTTCTACCTTCACTAATCCATATGATGTAAGAAAATATGACCAGCAGCACGATTCATCGTCAAGCAGGAAAAAACGAGTTTGCTCGAAAATATGAAATTTGTACAGTTATAAGGGTAAATATAAGCAGTATCTACCACTATTGTTTATTTGAGAATTGATAATAGTTAACCGTGATTTCATTCTGTTCGAACTATTGGAAGTGCGCTTTTAGTAGATGTTTCAATTTTTCGCAACTGAACTTGAAAAAATCATGCTAACAAAAGAATCTCTAAAAATAGATGGTAGAAACACTAAGGTTACTAGCAGGGAAATATGCATAGTCCAAAATTTGCATATACAACTTGAAACTTTATTACACAAATCTATGCTTTAAAAATATAATACCGAAACAATTTCATTTTAATTCGACAGAAGAAAAAAATTTGGTCAAATTAAGACTATACAAACAATATTATCGTGGCTTTAAAACTAAGCTGTTCGCGAGATGAACTATGTCAAAAAAGATAAAAAAATCATCACTGCTGATAATTATAACAGCTTGATGAATTGATCGGTAAATAAGAATCAATTAGATAATTTAAAACAGAAAGAGAAAACCTGGAACTACAGAAATAAAAAAATCAACATCCAATATAAATTTCGGATCTTTCCGGTTTTCCTATATATCTACATAAATTGTAAAATTACAGTAAATAAAAATAAAAGTTCTAGAAATTGCAAAACAGTATGAATAAGATTAGAACTGTTAATAAAATACTACACAAAACTATTCGATTAAGAATGACATAAAATAAATTTCATATTTACAAACTTTCCAGATTGATCAGAACTATCCAGTCATTTACTGCCATCGTCATTTATGGTACCATAAATGTATGTCAGATATAACCGAAAAAAACAATGACATGGCAAAGTTACACTGCAGCGCCTATATAATATTTATGTTGAAAAACATTATTGGTATCTATTTTTTACAAAAAAGAGAACTAAAAAACAAACAAAAAATCCATTCTAACAAAAAAGAATTTGCAAGAAAGTAGAATCGATTCAAAATCATATGGATGTCATGACAAGATAATTGAACTTTTTTAGAAAATCGCACGGAGTACTTATGCTAAAGATTTATATCACCTCAATATCATCCTGAGACTAAATGAAAACAAAAATACAAACGAAAAGAGGAAGCTTCTTCGTGTTTTAATTTTATAGTGCATAAAATCAGATCTCAACTCATCGCTCCGTTGTTTGCAGTTGGAGCAGCAAGTCGTTTTGCTCTTTCCTCCGCAAAGTCTCCAATTTCGTTCCAGATTAACTCCTTCCATTGGTCAATAGTTAAATCTCCTGTAACGTAAAAAACCATATGAGCTCATCTGAATTAGGACCTATGTGCCTCACTTCTCTACAAAAGAAAAAAATTCTTTCTCCATGCCTAAAACGATATTGGAGAATTAGGCAAATAAATAAATGACCCAAATATAATGCTAAAAAATACTCCAATTTTTTACAAAATCATCCTCATCAAAGAGAGCAAGAAAACACGTTTAATTTCCAGCTTAAATAACGAACAGTCTGTGGTACAAATCGTAAAACATTCAGAAAAAAAAAAAAAAAAACTGATTTATCAGAAGAAAAAAACGAACCATCGGAATCGATATCGAGTGGTGGCGACACGGGTTCATCAGATGGATCGTGATACTGCTTTAAGTAGGGATGCTCCATTGCCTCACTAGCAGTCGGTCTATTAATAGCTCTCTTTACTTAATGTAATTTATGTTAAAAACTGAAATAATGAAAAGAAGTTCATGTTTGATATATTTTAAAAAAGTGGAATTTCTCTATTCTTTAAGAAAATAAACTACTTTTTCCATTATAAAAAAGGTAAGAAATATACTGAGTGATAAATTACCGATAATCAGGGTCGAGATTTAGAGTTCTTTCCAGCAAATCAATAGCATCAGGTGATGCGCTTGGGAACAATCTTTTGAAATCTTTTCTGGGAGTTTTTGGAAGATTACGTATGTAATTACGAGCTTCATCTGATTGTATTTTTGATAAAAATTCCTCGTTTGGCGTACCGACTACATTCATTATGCGCGTTAATTGATCAATATCTGACCAGTTCACAAAATGCAATATTTGGTAAATTAATGAATTATATTAGCAGAAAAATGTTTATATCAGGATGGAAGGAAATTTTTGTACTTCGAAGCAAACTTTAAAAGTCACTAAAAAGTGCTTACGATCCGCTCCTGGAAACAAAGTTCGACCGGTAATTAATTCTGCCATAATGCATCCAACTGACCAAATATCCACTGCAAAAGAAAAAAAAAAAAAAAAAAAACACCTAGCTAAGACCCACGAAAGAATAATATGAAATAATCTTCGCCCACAAATAAAAACTTCTCTGATTCTATTTGCGGAAAAGATAAATCAAAATATATCTCTCCAAGCAAGTCAAATCGGTTACATATATACAGAATTATTACCTGTTTGAGTGTAATGCATCCAGTTGAGCATGATTTCAGGGGCACGATACCAGCGCGTGGCAACATACCCCGTCATTTCACTGTCAGTTTGTCTCGCTAAACCAAAATCGAGGATCTAAAACAGTACTCAGAACTTCATCCACTCTTCAATATTCGTATTCAGTAATCTTCGTCATGAGCAAGTTCTGTAAAGTGATGAAATGGTACCTTCAATTCACAATCTTCATTGACAGCTATATTTGATGGCTTCAAGTCGCGATGAATAAGACCGGCAGAATGAATATACTGTAAAATAATAATCTATTCTGTCAAGAGAAAAATGGAAAGAATTTGAATTACAATCCATATCATCAACTTCTCTTTCTCTAAGAAGGCAGGAAAAAACCTTTAAACCACGAAGTATTTGATAAACAAGGAACTGAATATGATCATCGCTGAGACGCTGAATTTTTAATATGCTTGATAAATCTGCTCCCATCAACATAGACACAAAATATCTGAAGAATATCACAAAACAGGTCTAGAAAATTATTTTCGAGAAAAAAGGAGCGATTTTAAACAAAAAGTCTTTGCATTCAGTTTTTTCTATGCTCAACTACACACAATTACGAGTTATTGTGCAAATAATAATGCCATTTGGTAAAAAACAGTAGTATTTGAGATGCTCGATCTTTTGACTTTTACTAATATATTGGAGTTCTCTCTGAAAACAACAGAAAACTGTTCATTCTTTCTATTTCAAAAATAACGAGTTAAACTAGCGATATTTCAGCAAAGCAGCCATTATAAAGGAAGCAAAAGTTAAAATACAATAATGAAGTAAGAAAAAAAAAACATACACATCTTGTAATGAAGTAGCGTTGATGTCAGGAGTGAATACATCTAACATATCGATGATATTTTCATGATTCATCGACCGTAACAACTTCAATTCACGATGCGTACGTTTTGCATGGATTGCACTTTGGAATGGTCGGGAAAACTTCTTTATGGCTACTTTTTCACCCGTTGGACGACATTCTGCTGCACTGAAACCAATATTACCTATTTATTGATCTTTAAAAATTACATCAGAATGTATTCCAATAAGGTGTCCAATAGATCCAAGTACAAGGGACCTGCCGCCGCAATCTTCATAGAAATCGAGAACAAACTAAAGCTCAGGCTTTCAGAAGTTTAATATAAAAAAATTGACGGAAGAATGCAGGAATCTTACTTCCTTTACCGTCACTGAAAATCTCAACTATCTCATAATTTAAGTTATTTAGCTCTAGAAATCGTAATTTATTATCTATCAATAAACGATTACTGAACGACTAGTACAGTCGGACAATATAAAATTAACAGGATAAGAAAAATGATCACGGAACAACAAACTAACCACACTGTTCCATAAGCACCCGTACCAACAGGTGTGAGATTCTGATAACAGTTCGGGATGATCCACACTGTCTTATTCAGTTCTACTGCATAAAACCCGGGCTTCAGTGTTCTCGTCAATTCCATTTGTTATCTCATTTATGAAATTTCACTTTTCTAAAATGAACTCAAAAAGAACTATAAATGAGGTCCGAGAAAGAGCGAAAGCCATGAGATCTAAGATAACACAAATGTAACAACAGCTCTATTGAGGCGATAAATCCAAACGTTGTCATACCCTTATCCTCGTCAAAATACGTTAGAAGTCAAAACTGATAAGAAATTCTGATAGCTTTAAGGACAATGGCCATAACGCGATGCTCTCGGAACATTATCCACTGTTCCTACCATTCTGCTTCTTTATTGCCACTCCTGTTTGGCACCAGAAACAAACGCCTCGGATGACTGACTTCTCCTTGTCCGGAAAAGGGCACACCAGTCTGTACAGTCTGGTACACGCACTCTATCACCACACACTCTCTAAACCTTGCTCTCCCTCTCTCCTCCCCGTAATATACACACTATTTCTGTTCCCTTCCACAAAGTTGTGGAGATTGTCTCAAGACACAGTCGATAATGGGTTAACTTCTAGTCTCATCCGTAGGCATACATAGTGGCATTTTGTAGTTGTCCGGATGTGTCTGTTTTTCCGTCCTGGGTGAGTGTAGTGAGTGCTTGATTAGTGTTTTGATTAAAAAAGTTTCATATTCCCTTCGTGACACTTCAATATATTGTTGATGTGAACGCAACGTCCTGTCATAACAGATGATGTGTTGAACATTGTGGAGAAAACGTGACATTTTTCATAAGTATAATAAATAAACTTGTATTGATATTTTTCCCATGAAATTTATGTGGTAGTTGTTCAGCTGGAGGGAGAGAAGCATTCTAACAGTCAAACCTATTAACTGAGCGATCGTAATTGGGCACTAAGCCAGTATATCTTCAGTGATTCATACTTTTCTTTATAAATCTAGACTATTTGACTACAGATATGTCGACTCCGATCAGAAAGTTCAGTTCGACTCGCCGAAGTTCAAAAAGTCCTGGTCGAATATTTCAAAAAGTTGGTTTCTCTTTTCTTTTTTTGTAATACAAGGATGTCTGCTAATTCGTTGTGATAATAATAGTTTGTATGCTTCAGAATCATATGCATAAAGCTTTCAGCTGCCTGCTTTGTCAGATGAAGAGTTGCGGGCTAGTTTAATCGCACTTGGCGCGAAAGTGGGACCAATAACCGCTACAACTCGTACCATCTACGAAAAACAGCTTGAGAAAAGACTCCAAAACAACAAGTCTTCAGAAACTTTCAGTAGTGCACCGGATGATCTCACAGCTGTTTGTTTTGTTAATGTAGTATCTAGAAACCCTCTGTTTTCAATATGTACAATAACTCTATGTTTATTACTTTTAGGTTCCCGATGGACGCAAACTTCCGACACCACCTCGTCCAACTATGGTTCCTCGTTCTCGTCCTTCTTATTCCGCTTCTTCCTCCTCTTACATACGAAGATCTGTGAACGACCGCAGCGATACTTTTGAAGGAATTTATTCAGCCTCAAATCGTATGCATTAACAATCTACTTATTAACTTGGCTTAATTGGTCGTTCGATGTGATGTAGTGAACCTAATGATGCAACAATTTGTACCTCCGTATTACTGTAGCTATTACTAAACTATAGCTATTACTAAACTATTCGCGCTAAATAACTGGATGGCTATTTTTCGGTTATTTCATACATAAAATTCACGAAACACTTTTTTTAGAGCGAAGGGCACGACGTCGGTTGGATTTCAGCGATAGTCAAGAAAAATTAAATTTTTCGAGAACATTTGAAGAATATGATAATGATAGTGATGATGATCATATGGAAAGTTCACGTGTAGTTCCTCCGAGTTCAGTCCTAATATCAGATACACAGAAGCCATCCTCAGTATTGTCGGTATTGAATAAATATCTGAAGTTCATTCGTCCACGCAAGTCTTTCTTAAATGTTTGTTTTATGTTTCAACCTTGATTTGAATTATCTTCATAAATAAGTAGTTCTATATGGAGACTTGAGAGAGTTCTATATTAATTAATAATTTCAATTAATGATTTTCCATTAATAATTTCAAGCTACTGTCTTACGAGCGTCTAACCATTTCAGTTTTTAAACTGGAGATCCTTTTTAATATAACGTAATTAGGAAAAGTTTTATGTCGGAAATCTTTTCTAGCCTGAACAAGGTATTACGAATGCTTTAGATTTGTTAAATTTATGAAGTTTCAGTCTACCAAAGATTCCCACTCATTTAAAGGGAGATATTCATACTCCGTTCGAGAAGCTGCACCAACACGTAGCGTTTCATTGGGTTTTGACATATCACGAGTACTATTATTCTCTCTTGTGTCTCTGTTTGGTTTCCTGCTTATTGCTTATCTGGCGACTGCAAATTCTGGTGTTTTGATCCACAGTGGTCGTATTGCATACGGTAAATGTTTTTACTTTCCGTATTTTTTTATTTTCATGGTGCATACCACAGTAGCTTTTGCTAAATGTTGTAGTTGGCATTTGAATACCTAATTTGTTGACTTAAATTAGACAGGTCGAATAAGTGCTATGTGCAAAACAAAATTTTCAGTAATTCATATAAAATCTTGCGTGTAATTTACCTTCTTTGTACAAGGAAATGATACAAATGTACTAAGATGAAATAGTAACTTCTGGACACAAACTTTTCGAAAATTACAATTCAGTTGTTGCAGTTGCTGCAAAGGATACCGTGTTTTTCTTATATACATATGCGATTCTTCCATTACTTACATTGGTTATAAGTATGCTTTTGCTTTTTTGTCAGTTTTCTGTTCGTTTGTCTTCTAAATGTTTTAACCATCATAGTCTGAAGAACTAGCATTTAAATTATATAATTTAAATGTTATTACTGAGTGCTATTCATTATATAATTTAAATGCTATTACTGTGACACGCATCTTAATCGGCATTACAAGGAATTAAGCTTCCAGTTACTGAGCGGAGTTCATCCGTAGCTTGGGACAATCTTTACCTATAATGAACTTTTTCTCTCCAAAAAAAAAGTACTGTTTTTAGTCTGTTTGATAGTTCTGCCTGATTAGTTACTGAATAATGCCAAAAAATGTGTTTGGTTTTCTGAATGTTAATTCATAATTCAGTTTAAAATAATAAGGTTGTTGTAATTAAAGTTTTTTTTGCAGTATGTGGAATAATGATTGGTATTTATATGTTACGACTCTATCAGACAAAAAAAAAAGCTGAAGATAAACAGCGTATTTTTGACCTCATTGAGAAAATTACTGGTGGGTTTGTATCGAGGTCAATATACTAGACTTTTCTTTTTATGTAAAAATGTTTTATCAGTTCTACATATATGTGAGAGATGTGGTAATGCATCATTTTTATACCTTTTTGCAGATATCATTCGGGATGCAAACGAACAGGGTCAAGCATATATCGCCGAACCTCATGTGCGAGATATGCTTCTTCCACCATCTAAGAGGTTTCTTTTATATGTAAAGCATTTTTCGTTTTTCAAGTTGAAAATGAAATTCGTAGATGAATTGTTTGTATTACAATAAAGATGAAATTTATATATTTTGTTAGAATGAATAATAGCCCGGAATGGCGCCGGTGGCAGGAAGCGGTTAAATTTATCAATCTGAATGAATCACGAGTAAGCACGGAAGCTCGAATTATCAATGGTGTAGAGTGTTCTGTATGGCGGTGGATTCCTGCCAAAAAGAATGGTTGGCAGGGTAGTGGTACGTATATTATAATTTATGTTTCCATTCATTTATCCAGAGTAGTTTGTTCCATTCGTTTAAAAAGAAATACAGTGCAAAGTACTGCATTTCGTTTTGAAGCAATCTTGCACTATATTTCTCTTTCCTATATCAGTAAGGTTTGGATATTCATGGCAAAAGACGTTTTATAAATTTAGCACTGAATGATGTTATTGATCTTCTGGTATAAGGATAATGTACATTCATTGAAAACAAGAATTCAAAAACGAGACAATTTGTTTGGATATGTAATCCAAAAACACTTGCCCTGCATAATTATTGGAAGAAGCATTATAATTTTTAATTTGGTATTTATCAAAAGTATTCGAAATAATACATTTATAATAATCAGATTTGTTACAGCTTTTGATGGAAGTATGCGGCGCAGTATGTTAAGTCAGGCTCCATCGCATTGTCTGAAGCTGCGTGGAATGTTTTCTTCAGCGAAGTATGTTCCTTTGACTGATTAAGTTTTTGAAGCAAGGATTTTAAGGATGTAACAGTGTTGTTCACCCTTTATTCTGCACTGGATTTCCCGACTTTAGTGAAATTCGACAAGAATATAGAAATCAGAATGAGTCGTGTATTTCTGTTTGGAAAATTGTGTTGTGGAAAAGATTGCTGTGCTTCTTTATGTTCCGTTCAATTCATAAAATGTTTTCGGAAGTGAAAATGTTTTAGAGATTACGAAACAAAATTTATGAATCTGAAGGAAGCTTTGCTACAGAAAATAGCTCCAATTAAGCCATTACATGTTTATGTGGAAAACGATTCTAAGGAGGGGGTGATGTTTGCTCGTTTCGCGTCATTAACCGATTGCAGTTGTGCTTTTAAATCATTACATGGGACTTGGTTCAACGGTATGTGTCATCTCAATTCTCTAACTGCATTTCAAAATGACAATACAAAACATCAATTTTTCTTGAGAATTCGAACCATTTAAAATCAGCAGTTACTATTTTTTATATAATGCTTTTCTGACTTGTCTTAAAATTTTACGGTTCTGGAAACAGACCATTTCTTTCAAAATACTTCATCTTTCGAATTACTGAATAAAAATTTACCAAATTGACTGGTCTAATTTCGAGATCTTTTTATTGTTTACAATATATGAATGGTCGAGAGTGAAGGCATAGTTTTGAAAAGCTACAGGGTAGATTGAATCGAAGGAAAAAGTGAGAAACACATAATGTTAATTTGTTAATGAAAGCATGCTCATAAGAAAATGTTGAAGATTTTAATTCTTAAAATAAAGTTCCAAAAAATATGAGGACTCTTTTTTCTTTATTTAAACTGAAAAGATTTAGGCAGCCTACAATGGCTTTTAATTTTGTAGTTTTGGACATGGGAAAAAACAGAAGTTTTGAGGAATAAAAGAAGTCTGTAAAATCAATCAAATAAATAAGCTTTATTTCCCTAATTAAGCTGGACAACTGCTTGTACTTGTGATGACATTAAAAAGTGCATCTGTGATGACATTAGAAAGTGTGTTGACATAAAAAAGCAGCATCTGAAACTTGTATTATCTATAGTAATAAAACGCTAGTCTTAAGATCATCATCGGCCATATGTTTCTCATTTTTATTATATTCCTGAAGATCAGTAAGTAGAAATTCAGGTGGGCCACATTTGAAAATTTATGCATAAATTTAAAATTTCCCAAAAAGATATCTGATTATTTTTGATTATAGTGAAGAGATTTTCGCAAGGAACTGTATCTATGATTTTTGAGGATGAAATGTCTGATATTTTGAATTAAATGCCCAAATAATGGAATTGTACATACTTTTTGTCGGAAGTTTAGAATTGCGTTTCAGGTCAATTGGTTTGGGCGAAATTTCTGCGTGATGAACGCTACGAGCAGCGATTTCCTAATGCATTACGCCAGTGAAGAGGGAACTGGTGCATTGTTCAAGCCGTTAATGTTTATGTATTATCCATTCCATCCGTCACTGGCGATATGTATGTTATTGCTGGCGGAAGCTTAACGGCTGTTGCTGTTATTGCTGAGGCTTGGAGAGGGTAATCAACTCTTTTACTCTACTCATGTTTTTTCAGAAGGGGCGGGACTGCTAAAGACGGATACTTTCTCAGCCTAGGCTACTATTCCAAGCTTTTAATCGTGTTTCTGTTTCACGGTCTCAGTGACCCTAAACGAGGTCTGTTTAGCCCGCAGTTATGGATTTAGTCGCAGCCGATAAGATTTCTGATACTACAAATGCTGTTAATTCCAATATTTCGGCTACTATTAGTAGTATTGACATCAGTGACCTTTCACGGTTATTCATTCCTACTGTCTCGGCATCCCATGAGTTCATACTTAGCAATATCAGAGATAGCAATAATAGTACAGTGGGAAATGAACATCAATATGATAACGAATCACCAAAATGGTGCACAATATTGTCTGTTGATTGTGAATGCCATTTGTCGTATCAGTTTTATGCATATGAGGAAAGGCTGCTGCTTGGCCTCATCACTCTACCAATTATCATGTTTGGCCTTTGCGCAAACATTACCTCCATCCGTATATTCACCCATCGTTTCATGTTTTCCTCATCCATTAATTGGTACCTCGCAATTCTGTCTAGTTCTGATACACTTATTCTATTTTCTGCATTCTTTGTTCTGTCGTTACCCAGACTGGGTGAATATGCGAAGACATGGTCGGCTACCAGATTCAGGTTCTTGTTTGAAAATTTCATCGATCAAGTTGACTTTTATTCTTTACCATCATTCAAAATGGCGTGTGTTCTCGATCTTTTCGCTTGTCGCTTGTCTTTTGTACTGTAGATGTAATTGATGTTTAAATGGTAGGTGGAAGCACATGAGCTGCCTCGTTAGCAGTCATCCGAAGTCTTCCTCGTCAATAGCATTTGTAAATCCCGTTTAAATTGTTGTGCATTCAAATCCAGAAAGTTATTCTACTTTTTGTTATATATTTTTATATTTGCGTTTAATCTTTCTTCTACTACTCTAATCCAGTAATGCAACAAATCCTTGAATTAGTAGAAATCCCAGAAATCGTCCAGAGAAAATTTTTCTTTTTCTGAGGGAGAGAGGGAGAGGGAGGAAGATTACCATTTGTTTCCATTTTGGAAGGGTTGATTCCTGTGTGGTGTCTGTGAGGATGACTGATATTTGTGGCATCATATCGAGCAATTTTAATCGCACTAAAATTGGAATCTTTAATATTTGGTGATCAGTTTGCTTGTTATTTACTTTCTGATCGTGGTAGGAAATGCAACTCTTTAAATAGGTTACCTTTAAATAAGTCTAGTTTTGAGCAACTTCCGAAAAAAACAAAAAAAAAAAAAAAAAATGGCTGAAATAAACGTGATATCGATAGAAAAGAAAAATTATGATGATAAGTTAAAAGCTTTCTGTGATGCATATTTGGTTCCAAAAAGAATAAAGTTGTGCTCAGTATAGGTGTTTTACACTCTCTAGGCAATATAATACATAACGTAGGCAAGGTTTGAACTAGTGTCAAGAATAGGACGACATGCAGAAACATATTTTTTCCCTCGTTGTTCACAAAAAGGACAGGAAGGGTATTTTACGTTCATCCATATAAATTAAGGCGAAGTGGAGTTGAGAATTTCAGATGATCCGTAAAGGGAATTGATGGAAGTGGGAGGAGAGAATGGAGAGATGATAAAGAGTTAATAGTTTCGCGTATGTTAAATCATATCCTTAGCACACAATTTAATTTCCAGCTGATTTTGTTCTGTCTTCTGTATATGTTCTATTACCTTGATTTTTATTGTTTGGTTGAGAAATTAATCAAAGTCTGTAAATAAATTACTTTAAAGTAGCAGCCTTTGGTCAAGTTCTATGAGACTTGTCAACGCATTCATTATAATTTGCATAAAACTCGGCGGAAGGTTATTAAGATTAAAAACATGGATGAAGTCAGAGAAAGAAATCTTTAGTGTGATAAGACTGTTTGAGGTGTTGACAGGTCACAACATAAAATGCCAGTATTTGAACTATAACATATGAGAATGCCAGTATTTGGTGAACTATAACATATAACCCACTGTTAGAAATTTTCAATTACAAAAATAGCGAAACATAGTTTGTTTCTATTGCAGTTGTTAAGCATTTTTGTTTACAGTTCTTCCTGAATTTTTTAAAAGATTAAAAATTTAGCACTTCTTAACAGCACTGCTGAAATTGGTCTTGAAAATGACTGTCTGGAAGTATTTCTCTCTCTGTTTCTGAGATATATAGGTACTGAAAAAAGTGGAAGGAAAAGTAGCGATGTTAGGTGATTAATTAATGGTGATTTAAAGTATAATGAGAACTTCTAGATTCTAACTGGAATGCTCAATTGTAAAAAGTCGTCTAACTGGTATTTTTCGTTGGGCAGGACTGTTGTCCTTTTATCAGATTCATTGAACCAACTGTCGTTTTTCTATTTCTCACTAGATGCTTAAGCAACAATTCCACATTCTCTAAAACGTCATGAGGTCAAAATCTACCCACCAGAATAAACTTGAAATTTATCAATCGTTAGATTTCAAATTCTTCAAAAAAAAAAAAAAAAAAAAAAAAAAAAAAAAAAAAAAAAACAAGCATATTGTTGAATAGTGATGCTTGTTAGCTCATGAAATAATAATTTCAAAAAACAGGAACATAGTACGTCTACCATGCACTTACTTTACGCTCTAATGCTGCTTTCAAAATTGGTCATTCAAATTTAACAAGTTATAACCTAAAAATGAGGTTTTTCTTCTTTCCATTTTTTTCCCTTTTTTTTTAGTGTGAGAGAATATACCAAAATTCTTAATTGTTTTTTTCCTTCCCGAAAAGAGAGGTATTTTTTGAGATATTTTTCCGCTTTTTTCTTTTCATTTCGCTCATTTTACCAATCGAATTTTCATCAGAATGCTCCAAGATGACTAAAAACAGGAATCTATCCGGAAAAGAAGGACTCAGAATTCGAATGAAAACTTTTACAATTTTTTGTTAAACTCTGAATCCTTTCATCTATTATAAGTCTGCAGGAGTATTTAATCATTCGAGCAACCATTTGTTTATTTATATATACGTAAATATAGATGGGGAAAGAGAAAGAGGGACAGAGAAAAGTGGTCATGAAATTTTGGACTAGTCTAATTTTTGTTAGACGAATAAAATACTTGTTCAGAAATAGCAAACATTTGTGCAAATAAATGAAAAGTATATTGGAAAACATCATAAATAAATAAAACATTTCGTTAATTATTCTCGCTTATCATAAGTAAATATCCCTGGATTACTGAAACATACAAATTTACAACAAAACTTAACATAATTAGAATAGTATCTTATCCTGTTTATTGTACATTACAAATGCAATTAGATGAGAATGTATGTCATTCCCATAATTGGAACAAATTTTCTTTGAGAATGCTATAAATATCCGTGTTCAAACATGAAATAAATATCTTGATGAACATAACAAATTTATGAGTAATGTAAACAGGATAAACGATAACAGGTGACGGATGAAAAAATAATGATAATTAACATTAAGCAACACATCTGCATCGATGTGATTTTTGTTATTTTAGTTTATTGGTTATTAAGAAATGTGAAACAAAATAAAAGAGAAGGAAAAAGAGATGTATAATGAAAGAAAATTTGAAGATTATTGAATTTCTTATTAATATCATCCAAATAGCAGTTGTCTCGGCAACTGGTCTCTGTTTCAGAAACTTTTCAAACCTCATTTAAACATAGCTAAATAGTGAGCAAAATTAAAAGAAAAGCAAATTTCCTTTATAGTTTAAACCACTATTTGAATATTATTAATAATTAATAGCAACTGATTATAACGGAAATAGGTGTCCATATTAGGTTGACTTGCAGTGTTTCAGTATGACATAATTTGTCATTTTGTTCGAAAATGTAACAATTTTAATAAAGTCAATAAATCAGTTCTTTGTTTTTCTTTTCAGAATTAAACGAAGAAATTGCTTAAATGGTTGCAAAAAGAAGGCATGATAAGTAGTAGTGAGAATATTTAAATGTAAAAAATTGAAATTTGTTATGAAATTGAGAGTGACATTAAATATTTAAAAAAATAAACAACTGAAAGCTTTTCTTCAATAGAGCTTTAATATTTGATAAAAAGAAAATCTTTTCTTAACTATTTTATAAAATTCATTACCACTTCTTCATTGATTTGATGATTTCATTTCATTTCATTTATTGTAAAAATTCATTGATTGTTAATGCCTTCTTTTATTTGATAAAAATTTCTAAAATAGTATATTTTGCATCACTCACCATATATTTCTCTAAAATGTTCTTAATTAAATAAGAAATCCAAATTTCAGTTATTGGGTTGCACCTTATATGTATGGCCTGATGACTCTCGCTCAAACAATAAGGCAAGTTTTTTTGTCAACTAACCACTTACATCTTCTTTCAGTTCATCTTTTCCTTCTTTTTTTCTCTCTCTTCCTATCAATTATCAAGACTTATCAAATTTAAATATTTGATTTTTTTTAAACAAAGGACCAGATCGTTGTGTTTAGAAGCATTGTCTGAAAATCTTTAAAATATTTATAAAATCAAAGTTACCATTACCATCTTTAAAATGATAAGTTAAAATTCTCTTTAGAATAAATTAAAAAAAAAAATTCAACCGAAAAAAAAAATATATTTCACTATCAATCTTTTTATTTGATAGAAATCGACAGCTGTTTCTTATTTCGACATATTCAGAAGGCATTTTTTTTTTCAATGCTGTGAAATGTTTTCTAGCTTTTTTCCTTGTTATTTTGGAAGTTTCGAACTAGGAAATAAAAAAATTGAAATGGCCAGAAATTTCATCAATCAGTGAAGTGCATTGGTCTTTCTCCTCAATGTATCAACAATGCTTTTATCATAACAAAGGATAAATTTTCGTATATTTCACTTTTCTTTTATAAAATTTCATTTGAAAACTGTAACAAAAACGAGAAAAAGAATTGTCCCTTAAAATTCTGAAAATTAATAATTAAAATTTTTTAAGACAATGCAATTTAATTAGTTAAAAGACGCAATTAGCTTCAGCTTAAATGATGAGCGATTTTTAAATACAATGTTAGAGTAAAAATATGCCTCAAAAAAAGTTAGAAAAGAAGGTAAAAAAATACATAAGTACTAATAGTTTAAAAAATGACTTTTATTTTGCAATTGAATATATTTGCATGAAATTGCCACCACTGCATGAAAATATACTTTAAACTCTGAATTCTACGATAATTACTCCATCATTCTTTCATTTTTATTTCCAAGAAATTGGATGTGAAATAATTTCATCCATAAAATTTCGTAAAAATTCACATTTAATAATGATTGTATCATAAAGCACTTCATCTAATCAATAAAAATATGATTGACATTATTGTATTAATTGATGAAATCATTAATACAGTGGAATAATTATAGTGTATGGATGACAACAGGTATGTCTGTCCATCGTTATATTGGCGTATGTTTACCATTTAAAACATCAACGCTCCTGAAAACGGCTCGAGTTCGGATATTTATCCTATCACTACTCGGATTTTCTCTTCTCTTCAATATTACTCGATTCTTTGAGGTAAATTTTCTTTGTTAAACATAAATCGATACAAGCAATCGTATTATTTACATTTGCTTTTGCTTAAAGTTCCAGTAAATAAGCAAGATTTAATTCCTGAATGGTTTCGCTTCGGAAATTTTGCAAGTAAAATTGACTTGTAAAAGAAAAGGAGAAGAAAACAGATGAAAACGATTTGAGTAAAATTAATGCTGCCATAATGAGAGAAAAAAAAAATCCAATTTGTATAATTCATTTAATTTTAAATTATTTTCGATTTATATAAAATTTATTTATTAATATAAAATTGATATTAAGTGTGTTATACGGTATCAAAATATTTCTTTATCTCATTTTTGCTTATTATGGTGAATACGACCAAAAGGTTAAATACAACCATCGACTTGCCAGTGAAAATATTAGGAATATTCAGAGTACGAGGGAATATTTCCCGAGAGAAATGTTTTCCCGAGGGAAATATCAATAGCCACGATGATTTATCACTCTTCTTCAAAGCAAATCCAAATTTATTGATGAATTGTTAAATTCATAGTTTTGCTGTAAAAATAGCATTGCTCCAATATTTTTGTTTTTTATTTCTTTTTTTCTACTTTGGAAATTTATTTGGAAAGACATAGAATAAGAAATAAAACACAAATGAATTTGCATCCATTAAATTTAATTTATTCCCATAAGTTGACCTTTTTTCGAGTTAATATATGGTACTGTTGAATGTCAATGATAATACTAGAATATGATAAATGCAAAAGCATTTAATAGAATTCCAATTTCAGACAAATGACAAAAATATCAATTAACGATGCAAAACGTTTGGAGAAAGGGATTAAAGATATTATACATCCTTTTATAAAGGAGCAATTTAGCTAACACAACTATTTTTTTTTTTTTTTTAACCCAGAATTAGTCCACTGTTATTTAGAATTAAATTACTTTATGTTAAACATTTTTTTACAAATTTTGGTTTGAAATTAAAACATATTATGTATGGAATGGCGTAAATAAAATCATGATAATATCAAAGGAAAGTTAGAATCTAAAAAAAAAAATCCTTTCACTATTTTTTCAAGTCATTCTTGGTTTTCCGACTTTTCAACTATCAAAGTATAACTAGAAAATTGATTACATATTTTCATCTTGTGTTGGTATAATGTTGATTGATTTAAAAATAATTCGAATGTGCCAGATCTGCTTCATTTCTTTTTATTTCTTTTTTTAAATTAAGTCATCCGGTTAATTGCTTCCCAATTTTCAATTTATTTGAAGCTAATCAGAATTTTTTGTTGGGGCAAACTTTTAATTGTAATCGAAAATTTAAATGTAAAAGGAATTTATAATGAAAACATTTCTACTAATCTTCTAGTTTTCAGAAAATTTCAGTCCATATTGAAAATAATTTTTAGGATGAATTGCAGTGCATAGATTTGTTTCTCTAATGCTATTAGCATAGAATTAGCGTTTACTCAGTTAAAGGAGCAGAAAAAAAGAAAAAAAAACTCAAAATTTATAATCCATTAAGATATTTTGAAAGAGAAAAGTGGAAGAAAAATGACTGAGCATTAGAAGTAAATGAGATAAATAAGCAACGAAAACAAAATAAAAGACGAAGAAAAAAAGAGAAAATTCATTCTTATCATTGCTATGTATCATTTGTGGAAGATATTTTAATTGAAAATAAATAATTTATTTCATAAAATTTAAAACATAATTTAAAAACACTAAACAAATTTTCCTCATTTATCCCTATTCTTCATGAAGACGTATTCTTTTATTTATATCACAAAAATTTTCATTTGAGTTACAATCATCGAATAAATAGTTTAATTAAATAATTGGATTTAATTAAAAAAAAATAATTGGTGGTCATATCCAGTATAGAATTCAAGTTGGATTGGGATGATGCATTAAACGATTTAGCAGAATCTTAAAGAATCTTTAAAAACCGTAATTTTTAAACAATAAGAAATTTCATTAAAGTTTACGAAAGAATATAATAATCATTGGAAAGGATGAAACATAATAGTTTTATCGGCTTATTAAATTCCAATATAAGATCAAAAGTCGATAATGAATGAGTCAATATGAAATGTAAAAGTTGATGATGACTGATGTCATTGAATGACTAATGGTATAAATGAATTCTAAATCCCAAAAGAATTAGAATTTGAAATTGAGGGAAAAAGATATGATAAGAATGAGGTAGAACTGAAGATATTACTATTATAAAAACAACAAAAAATAAAATAAAAGAGAAAGAAGCATTTGAAAAGAAGCTTTCAATTGGAAAATGTTGATTGATTAATATAAAATAAAAGTTCAATAGACTTAAATGTTAAATTCTAAAATTTATCAATCATCAAAATATAATTTAATCTATGAATTAATTACTGATAATTAATATACTTATAAATTTTATTTCTAAAATAACCGTAAGTTTAATTTTAGGTGCGTGTTGTCAATAACTGCTTTCGATCAAATATAAATGCCTTCATTCCGGTGTTAGTCCCATCAAATCTACGACTTAATCAAACTTATCGCCTTATATTTTTTGGTTGGGCCTATACCATATTGATGTTTGTGCTGCCATTTACATTATTAATTATTTTAAATTCTCAGGTTAACTTTTTCAACCATTGAAAAGTTTAATTAAAGCGTAGATAATTTCAATTAGTGGATAAATTTTTTAATCCAATTATTATTACACAATGCTAATGGCAGCTAAAATTATAAACATCCTAATAGTTTATTTAATATCAAAAGACATATTATGCTGAATAATCGGTTTATTTAAATTTCAATTATATATTTTTTCCAAAATAAAATAATTTAATTTTTGAACTGATTTAAATTTAAATTAGATTAGAGTTTATAATGGGAATTTAACACTTTGCTTAAAGTATTGATTATTTTCAGGTACTACTAGCTATTCGACGATCAAATCGACTACATAGGAGACAAAGTATGGTACCCGATGAATCGCTAAAACAAGCGGAACGAAAAGAACGCCAAATATCAATAATGCTTATTGCAATTGTACTTGTTTTCCTCTCCTGCAATACGTTAGCATTTGTAGTCAATATTCTTGAAAATGTTGGCTATGACAATGCTCTCTACGTTTCGCTTGTCACTTACAACAATTTCTTGGCAAGTTTTTTTTTTTCATAATATTTAGTGAATTATGATGATACTCTCCATATTTGTCAAGGAATTGAAATTAAACTGGGAATGTATCGATTACTTGCAAAAACTGAGCTAGACATGTTATTATTACTCAAATAAAATGAAAGGTATTAAATTAAGGAGAAAAAAACTGCGCAGAATTCAGCTAAATTAACAATTTCTAATATGAAATAAAATTATTAAAAAGTAATTTGAAAGAATAGCACTATTAATAATAATAAAAAGTTAAAACAATATCAATAATAATAATCAACAAAAAGAAAAACTATCAATAAAACAAATAAAAGTTAAATTATGATTAACCAAGGTATAAACTCAAATAAACATAACTACTATTTTTGAAGTTTGAAATCTTAATAAATTGTTCATTTTTTGAAGCACATTTATGAGAATAAAAGAAAAATGAAAAAGATGAGGCGCGATTTTCCGTCATAAATTTTAGATATCACAATCATCAATATTTTTTTTCTTTTTTGCCTTAAAAAAATTCTTTACACTTGTTATTTATAGAAATGTCCAAGTTTTTATTTCGTATGCATACTCATCTTTTACTTTACGTATTTTTTGGCTTACATATTTTTTGCAAAAATAAAAAATTTTCATACTACTAAAAAGTTTTTTTTGGGTTAATTAATTATAATTATTTTAGGTAATGGTGAATGCATCATGCAACATAACAATATATATGTTATTTTCGGATAAATATCGTCTGTTATTACGACATTATATGACATGTCATTGGTCAAGGGATGGTGAATTACTTCTAACAACAAATACTGCATAATATAATCACTTCGATTTAAATTTTGCTGCTTCATTTTAACCAAATTTCCTTTGTGGGCTATTAATTACTTCAAATTAATTCATTAATATTTTTTTCTTTTACAATTGTGACTGAATGCAAACATTTTTAATATTAAAAAGTTAATAAGTGAAATATGATAACCTTATAAAGAGATGCCCACAAAGGAGAATTGTTTATACCATGCACGGGTTATTCCTTTAAGTTTATAATATATGTAAATGTATGCTAATTGTTCACATATGTAAACATAGAAGATTACAATTGTGCTATAAATTCTCAATCGAATTTAATTAATCAACTATTGAAATTTTTCATTTCAAATCAATGGAACTAACTTTTCTTAATAGCGAGAAATTTAAACCTATTTTATGCCTGTGAAAATATTATCAATTCTAACAATGGTGACAAATTTCCGGAAATGAAACAATTTTAATCTGTGAGGAGAAAGAAATGCCCCAAGTAAAAAAATCCGAAATAGTTAAAATGTGAAACAAAACAGAAAAAAAGCAACTGCTTAATTAGGTTATAATTTTAAAAAAAAATTTCACAAAATTTAATGATATTATAACTCATAGTTATACTAACGGATGAATAAATTACAATTTTTTTAAGAAATCAATCAATGCTCGATTTATAATTTATGATGAAATCCATAGAAAGCGGAGTATTGAATGAACGAAGGATAATTCTCTTAATCTGGATGACAATATATCATTACACATATTGTGTTCTACAGTTTATCAATGAAAAAAAAATTTTTTTTTTATCACTAGAAGGAAAATTTATGGAAGTAGTGATGCTTAATTTGTAAATAAGTTAACAATTAGAATGATGTGAGCAGAATTAAATTCCTTTTAATAATATAATAACCTGAAGTGATTGCAAGCAATTATTATAAAAGGAATAAATGAGATAGGGGTAAAAAAGTGTTAAACCGTTCTGTTATAAAATTATGAAATTAATAAACTAAATTTCAATTGTCACTCCTCTTCTTTTTTTTTTCCTCTTTCTCTCCCCCACACACACACAACTCCTCTTCTCTCTTTCCCTTTCATCTTATAGATAAGTAAATGAATAAATTTCGAAATAATCACAATTTATTCCTCCTACTGATATTTCATAGTCTTCTAAACTTTTTAACTATTTATTTGTTTTAATTCCTTCTTTTTTTTATGTTCTGCTACTTTAAGCATATAAGAAATCGATTATTGCATTTTAATGTGTAATTAATTTGCATACATATCATAATAGACCGGATGGATAGGTGGGCCTATTCATAATAATTAATAAACTAGTAGCAAGTGATAAACATATTTAAATTAAATTGATAATCAAACTTCAATTCTTTCGCTGGGATCTATATGAAGCACTTTTCTCCTCGAAGTCATTTGTAACACTGATAATAAATTGACTGACTTTATATTATTAATTAGCAGTGATATCTGTGCAATTCCCAGCTATGATCATCCTATTTTTATTTTTTCATTTTTTTGCTACCAGCCATCAAACATAGTTGAGTATTGAATCTTTTCAATTTTTACATATTAATATTTTTGATTATTAAACTGAATGTATGGCTATCATATGTTCCTACCTATTCTCTCATATGACCAATAGGTATTAAAACTAAAAAGATGAAACATCAATACCACCTTATTAATGATGAACTTCAAGGTTGATATCATAAGTTAGGCTCAAATAAAAGGTCACATATTGCCATATACATCATTGTCTCGTTGTCAAAATCAAAGAATGAAAAAATCGTTCCACTAAATTAACAAACTGCCTTTTACTCTTTAACTGTTTCTATGATTCAATGTAGAGGAAATTTTCCATTACTGAATATCCACCTTACTTCAATTTTTAAAGTCTATTTCCATCTTATTCCAGTTTTTCAATCTCGAAACCTTCTGAAAGCCTTCACAGCCTATTTTCGATGGTCAACAAATTTGATAGTTTGATATTTCAAACAAATGAATAGACGAAGAGGATAAAATCTAAGATATCATTTGCATTTCAAAAATGATTTTGTGAAGCTATTGAATTCATACCTCACTTACAAAATCACTCATTGAAAAGTTTCTATTCCATTTATTAATTACTTGAGAAATTCAATCAGATAATAACCAATGGCAATATTGAATGTAAGATTTTTTAAAAATATGTCTTAGATTTTGATCCCCTTCTGAAATATCATCTATTCATTCATATTCATTTTTTTTTTAAAGAAAATAAAGATAAAAATTCAAATAAAATTAAAGGATTTTGGAATTTTTGTTAGACATATCCGATGTTTCTGTTTCTGATGAAAACGGTGAAGAGATTGTTAAAATGAATGAGGAACCAGCAAATGAACAAATGGAATGATACGGCAGTACGAGAAAAAAAAACATCGCTAATTAAATACGACAATAAATTAAAATAACAAACATTAGTTATAGCAAGTTGAGCTCATTAACTGATTGCTATGAATTCTCTATCTACCAATTTATTGCGTTTGCATTATTCATCTCAATTGAAGTTTGTTATTTCTAATACAATCTGGATAAACAAAAAAAAAAAAAAAAAAAAAAAAAAACAATTGTTGGGAAAAAATCAAAAAAAAGAAATAATTTCTCATTTACTGGAGATGAACCTAAACTTTATAAATAACCATATTTACAGTTAAAACTACCGCTAAACATTTCCATCATCAATTACGTGGCATTACCATGTTATCATTACCTAAGTTATTATCCAAATTATCATAAATTTTAGCAACAACTCAAGAACAGTATCAGTTACAGTATCATTGCCAAACTTATGCAAAATATACAAAAAAAGATAAAAATTAGTCTTTTGCTTTCAGAAAAAATTTCACTCGTGAAAAAACGTAACAATAACCTTTTGCAGACGCCATTCATAAGCAGAAATTTACCACATCATTGGTCAGAAAGATGGCAGATGCCAGGAGAGTAATGAAATTAATTCTTCAATGAGTAATTGTATTACTGAAATGTATTTCTCAAAAATCAACAATTAGCAAAATTATCTAGTTTTAATAAATACAGTCAAAAATTTATTGAATTTAGAGAAAAACAAGCATAAAAAAATTTGTGATAAATACATAAATTATTTTGGAAGGAAGTTATTTCAGATAATATCATTAAAAAATTCGATAAATTGCAGTAAACATTTCTAATATATCAGATCACTTATTGCTAATTATTATAGAAGGACTCAAAATATGCAAATGTTATTACTTCAGATAGCTTTCAATAAGTTTAATCAAGGTATCTTCATTATAAGAAATTGCAATAGTTGTTGATTAATAGTCAACTATATAAATTTTCGGAAACTTAAACGAGATGCTCTTGCTACTTCCTTAACGAAAATTAGTTTGTTCAATTCATCGATAAGGTTAAACGACATGTAATTTGACTTGACAACTTTATTAAAATATTTAACAAAATGTTGTTTACCTGTTATTATTCAAGTGTAGTGAAAAAAAATTTGCAGAAATTACTGTATAATATGTTGCGAAAAATCTTAGAATGCAAATGTTAATGTTAAGTAATTAATCAAATTTATTTCCCGGAATTTCTTCGTAGTCTAAAAATCCCTAATTTTCTACTGGTTATTACATCAAATAACCAAAACGTATGACTATTAAATGGAAAATTGAAATTATAAAAAGCAATCAAATTTACAAATTTTCTAATCAAAAAGCAAAGCAATTTTTATGGATATAGCAGAATGTATTGTTCATTTTGAATTATTTATTAAAATTTTCATTAATTTGCGTTCTTCTACCATTTCTTTTTCATTATGATCTAAATTTTAGAAATTTAAATATACAATTGTCATATTTGTATTAACTCATGATACTAAGTTCCTGAAAAATTAGATCGTTAATCTTTTTTATTATTCTAAAAAAAGTTTTCTTTTATTGTATAACAAATGCTTTTGTTCATTTCCTATAATAATATTTTCAAGATTTTATTAATCGCTAATTCTCCTAAAAATTATTGCATATAAATACTTTCACAGCAGTTATGTGAAAAAATACAAAAATATAAAACTCATTTTATTAATTGCAAATATCATTGGAGAAAATTTATGCTTCCTGATTTTTTTCTTTCCCACTCTTTTGATGTTTATTGATCAAATTTCGATTCAGTAAAATTAAAGTTGTAGATTTGTTATTATGTTATTTTAGTGAAAATTAAAATTTCATTTCAAATTTTTCTTTTTTAAAATATCTCATTTGAGGAAGTTAAGAAGTTTTGGTTTTTTTTTTTTTTGAAAAAAACGAAACAAAACAATATAAAAGAAACCTTTTTGAAAAAAATCTTATGTTCTCCAAAAAAAGAAAAAAAAAATCGTAAACTGAATTTGTTGTACTTTGATTTATCATACCGAAATAATCAGTGATAAACAGTTCTCACTGCAATTTTTTTTAAAAAAAAAGAGAGAAAAAAAGAATTATTGAAGGAGTTGCGTCAAATGCATTTGCAGTTTAAATGAGTTTAATTCTATGTAATAAAATTTATTTTTATTAAATGTATGACAAATAAAATGTGTCTATTATTTTTGAATTAAGAAAAATGTATGCATTTTAATGAAAAGTAATTAATAATAAGCAAAATAAATTTATCAGTGATTCGATATTATTGCAATAATAGTTTAAAAAGTGAAAGTGAAAAATATGTTAACATTAATTATTTTGTTATAATTAAAATTTATTTATGCAATAATTTATAAAATTATTTGCTATTTTTTTTTTGAACTTTTTTTTGCCTTTTCAAAAACTAACAATTTTTTTTAGCACTATTGTTTAGCGCAATTCTCTTTACTTTTATAAAACTTTATAAATTGTTTTATAAGCTTTCAAATTCATTAATAGAAGTAAGTCTTAAAATCGTCGAAAGTTAAAAAAAAGAAATAAACTAGGAAGCATTATTCCTTATCACCGAAATTGTTTGTCATTCCATCTTTGCAAATATATTCTATTTTAATTTTTTATCAAGCAAACTACGAAAGCATTTCAGAACCAATATTTAAAACATTTTTTTTTTATTGCCCTTTACTTTTTTGCTTACATGAAACTTATGGGTCAGTTAATCTACTCCAATACTGTCTCGATGTCTATTTCAATTATAATAATGATTGAGATGCAAAGATGTTAAATTCTAATTTCACATTTCGGTAAGACAAAGTTTTCAAGGATGATAATTAGCTCCTCTGAGAAATAATCATTTCTTATAAAAGTTTTATTATCAATCGTCAAAAACGTGTGTCTTATCTGATAAATAACTCAGTATTATTTCATTTAGATGGAGTTTTGAAATATTTCAAATTTAAATTAATCAAATTTGACTCTCTAAAATAAAATGTTTAAAAGTTTATTTTGGAAAAGAAGCTACAACAAAAAAGCACTTCTGTAATAAATTGAATGTTTGGTACTATTAAACCATATTTTACTGATATCACGATCTTCAAGTGAAAAAACATCAGAAAGAAGTGCTAGTAACGAGAGTTTTATAACCGGAGCATATCTTCTGCAGTTCATTGCAAAGTTCGTGACCTCATTTCCATAAATGATTCATTATTTCCGATCTGATATGATAATAATATATATATATATATATATATATATATATATATATATATATATATATATATATATATATATATATATATATATATGTAACTTAGTATTCAATTTAAATTGCATATTAGAGAAGTTAAATTAGTTTTAAATAGCTTTTAAAATTTGATTGCTGAATGTATGCTAGAATTTTATTTGGAAAAAAAAGTGACGAATCAAGTAATATACCTTTGCGATCTATGCTATCCAGATTAAATCCAGTACTAACATCAAGATTTATCAGTTTTTTAATATCCATTTTATATTTTCTAAATTTCTTCTTTCTGCGTATTTGTTTGGATTTGAAAGTCTCTTTGCACCTATCAACTACTTTAGCTGATTTGTCAACAATCTTCTTGTCGTGCGGCTTATTTTGGTGTAATGCATAAGTTACTGCTCCTTCAGATTTCAGGGAATGCGCAATAGGTGGAAAAGCAAGACATGATGGAAGATAGTGGTCAAAAAGTTGACCAAAGCGACTTGTTATCACTTTAAAGTAGTAATTGTTACAATGCATAAAGTATACTTATATATGGACTGGGCTATTGGATAAATTTGAATTAGCACATTGATTTAGAATCATTGCAACAAATTCTGGCATGCAACGATTTTCAATGATTTTTAATGAAATTGATTTAAAAACAAATCTGAATTCTTTTCCTGACCTTGCCAACTACTATTGAATTGTTCGCTAATATAATTTTGCAGTTTGCTTCTTACTGCCCGTAAGTCAGGTCAACCGATTGTCTATTGGAACATCAGATATCTCATGTTGTTGACAAATAGGGATTGATGCATTGCATATATCTGAAATAGTATTTTGCGAACAGCCATATTCCTGAACCATAAATGCCATTTCTGGATTCAACATTGTTTCATCAAAACGGTAAATAGCATTTTGTCTAACTGATGATTGACTGAGTTCCTATAATTCCTTCATAATGTTTTTCTAAGACATTTCTAAAACATAAATTTCTAAGACAAATTGTCACATAATTACTGAGCTGAAATTTCGTTTAAATATAATTATTACGTTAAAAAAATCACTTGTATTTTTTTTTTATTATCCTCAATACTGAAACTATTACTTTAATAATTAATAAGTGATGAAAATGCTATGATAACAATTTATACGAATTTATGAGGAAAAAGAATAGTTGATGAATTTCTTTGTGAATATATTGTGGAAAATTAAAATTGCATAAATACGATGGATTATTTACTAAATTATTGTTAATGTAATCAGTTGGAATTGAAACACATTCGCAATCTGAAGTAATTTTAAAAAAAATTTTTAAAAATTTAATTTTTAAATTAAATAAATTTGAATTTAGTGAATGTGTTCATTTCACTTCGTGCTAAATATTTATCATATGAACATCATAATTTTATTACCAAGTGATTAAATATTCATTGAAAAATTTGTTCGACGGGTTTTTTTTAACATCAAATATGTATTCTTACTTGCAATATTTTATATAAAAAATGATTCAATAAATAGACATTTTATTGAAAATTTTATACCATCAATAAATTTCGGGTAAACACGTAGCCTAATATTGCCATTTTGGAATTGCACTGGTTTCAACACTAAACTACAATTACTACTGCGTGACCGATATCGTCGTATAATTGCGCTTGCACGCACATTAAAAAAAATTTAAACAAATTTGGATCTACTATATTTTTATTTAATCATCCCAAAAGAAAAAAAAGAGGCTTAACAGTTATCAGACCGGAAAAATTTAATGATATCTTAATCGAATTTACTTTACTACTACGCTTATCTTTTGTGATTAATTTCTTTAATTAATGTTTAGAGAAAATATTCGAAGTTAGAATTTTTTTCATTTAAAAGATTCGTTTATATGATACTCTTACTTTAAAAAATATATATATGTTAAATAATTTCGTCACATATTTCTAATTGACATAAGAAAATTTTTTGTTTAATTCATAGAAATTTATTTGAAATCAACTTAATTCGCTTACGTAGGAGCGAATTACTGTAAACAAATCGAAAGAATTTAAAAATTCAAAAATTTCAAATTGAATAGCTAAATTATTACAAATGTAGGTATAACAATTACAGTTTTGCAGTGACAGTCCTTATATGGACCAACGTTACCTTTCAACACAATCTGTCGTCCATGACCTTCACATTTCCCGCAAAACAATGTTCGTGATGGCATGATCACCTGAAAATTGATTGATTTTTGTGATTAGTGGAAACCCTTGAATAAACAGCATTTGAAATGTTTACTGTTATCACTAATTTTAGTTGTCATTTTTATTATCACACTGTTAATTAATTATGAGTATTATTAATTGAAACATCAGCAACTAAAAGTTTTATGAAATTAATTTATTACTTAACTTCATATGTTGTTATTTAGAATCATTAATCAAAAATTCCTGAACTTTCAATATCAGAAAAAAAAAAAAAAAAACAAATTATAAATGTAAATATACGTACGTAAAACACATTTAAAAGTGTAAAATATATATACATATTAACATACAAAATACAAACTTTCAAAAATACAAAAAAATATAAATCACTGTTGGCCAAATTTAATTACTGATTTTGATTTATACGCTGAATAATTTAAATTAGCGAATTATCATAGGAGCCAATGGACATGACTGGTAATTGTTGAACCATAATCTTCCTCTTTCTATTTTCTCGCCTTCTTTAATACAGGTCATTCTTGTGTATATATATATATATATGTGCACATCGCACATAATAGTTTATTCTAAGCCATAATATTTGAATAATAATGAATAAATGTTTTGGACAGATAGAAGTTTGTATTTGAGAAGACAGAATGATTCATTTGAAAAACAATTATAATTTGAACAACTTTATCTCTTATCGAGATATTAAATTTTAAGAAATTTAGCATTAGTATCAATTTTCAAAGCTTTAGCTTCCTTTGCCTTACTTTTGAATTCAACTTGTATTAATAGCTTAATATAAGTTATTTACAAAAGGTTTTCACACACAAAAAAGTTTAATATGATTGAATAAACTATAATAAATAATTTTGATCAGTCAACTGATGATCAATTTTATTGAGTATGAATGAGAAATTTAAAAAAAGAGAAAAACGAAAATATAAATTTTGTTAGGAATAAGTACAAATTTACTAGCACAATTATCATAATTTCTTCAAAAATTGACAATGCATTTTAAATTCATTCATTCTATAAATCACAACGAAAATTTTTAAAATCGAAAAGCAAAGGGAAATGATAGTATCTTACATGTAAGTAATAAATAACTTGACTGTAAAAGTTGAAATATGACATAAACTTTTGTGAAATCAAAAAAAGGTAAAAAAGATGGGAAAAAGTTGTCAAAGTTAAAAGAAATAAAGAAATTCAATTATTCATTAATTTATATTTATATTCATATTTGTTTGCATTTTTAAAAATTAACTTTAATTATGAAAAAATCGCCAATACGAGTGAAAAACAAGAGACATAGTAATTGCGTGGATATATATGTATGTATTAATTTGCTTATATATATACGTCAATTTTATGTTTTATTTTCTTCAAACAAAAGGTAACTTTTGTTTTAAAAAAAATTACAAACGGACATTTTTTTTTTTTGAAAAGTTTTTCCAAGTTACGACAAATGTTTATTTGTAAAGATTTCTTTTTAAAGAAGGAAAGTTATGATTTGTTTTTTATAAATCAATCAAAATTAATCAGTTAATTAATTTCAAATTGTATTACCAGTTAATTTTGATATTACTAATTAATCACTCAGTAATACTTATTAAGTGCTACATTTTCGTTTAAAAAAAAAGAAAAAAAAAACAAAGAAATAAATATAAACAACTATTTGAATATTCTATTAGTGATACATCAAATTATTTAACAAAATATGTAAAAGTTAGCAAAATTTGTTTAATCGAATGTACATATGCCACAAATTATAAACAAGTTAAAATGATAAATCATTGAGGAAGTTTATGCATTTTCAAGTTTTTGTTTATTTCATGACAATAATCAATCATATCAAGAAAAAAAACTGTTTTTTTAGAATGAACAGAAGTGATTGAATATATAGTAAGCATGAAAAAAAATAATGAATGAATCATTTTTTTGAATTTTAAAATTAAACTTGAACAAAAAGACTAATCTTTCAGTCGTTTTTTTTTTCATGTGAAGTAATATTTGTTGTAAATATTTGAAATGAAAAATTTTATGGAGTTAAATTATTTTCTAACAAGATGAAATAAATTTTTTCATTAAAAAAAAGGTGAAATAGAAGTTAAAAAGAAAGAAAAATGAACGAAAAAGAAGTGGGATGGAATGCAATCAAGAGCTAAACAACAATTATTTAATATCGCAAGCTTTTGAAAGAATTTTTGTTAAAACAAAAAAGATAGGAATATAATAATTGAAAATATTCATTCATTTGATCTTATTTAGCTTTTATTAAGAACCAAAAAAAAAAAAATAATTTCGACTAAAATCCAAAAATATCCTTTCCAGCTCTTATATTTTTCGCTTAGGGTCAAATCTCCTTTTAAAAAAATTTGACTCTATTCTTTTCTTGACGATAAAAATTTTTTCATTGAGAATTTGGTTGTAATGAACATTTAATGATTATGTCACATAAACGCTTGAAAAATTAATGAAAAATAACATTGTCTTACTTTACTACAACTAAACAATCTTTTCAATGGAAGTATCTTGTTTAATGTATTTCAAAATATTCCAATTAAATAATAAGTAAACTTGGGATTTTACATTATCTATGTAAGCTAGAAAGAAAAATTCTCTCATGTCTAATTTTAAAAATGTAAACTTTAAATGAGTAACTGTTTATTATAAACATATTATAAAAAGGTAATTTTACAGATCTATTGAAATGAAATTTTCCTTTAATCAGATCTCAGAAGTAGCAATATAGAAGACCAAAATTTTACTATTCAAAAATTAATCGTTATTCGCCGAAAAAGTCGTACTACTGCTTGATAATGTAATAAGTTACAGTGTTTTTATTTTCATATTAAATTCGTATATTTTATTTTTTTTGACTAATGTATTTCTTCAGGTGACATTATCGATAATTTGACACCAAATGGTTTAATTGTAGATATGCGGCATAGTTTATGAAATCATCGAGTAGTAATGCGTGGAAGATTTAGCATACGATTGACTAGCAAAAAAACGATGTTCATAAAGGTTCAAACTTGAATAATTATAACGTTCAAACTTGAATAATTATCATAAATTTAACTATAACTAGCTAAAAATCATCAAATGAGAGCTTCAATCTACCAAATGAAATACTGTTCATCAAGGATTTTTTGTGAAAAACGCCGAATGAAATTCTAAAAAATTATAAATCATATCTTTACAAAGATCAGTTGAAAATACAGTTAAGCAGTCTATCCTTTATTTTTATTTTTCATTCAAGAATTCACCCCAAAATGAAGATTTTCCATCACTGAACTTTAATGTTTCCATAAATTTGATTTGCATAATTAAATGTTTAATGCTTATAAGTGCAATGCATATAACATTAATATTCATTCTTTCCATTTTTTCCCCTTCTCAGTAATAATTTTTGGCAGCTAATTACACCCACCTAAGTACTACTAATCGATTGAAACAATTGATCGTTCATTTACATAGCATAAACTAAGCAACATATTCAGGATATGTGAAAATGCTAATTAATCGTATTCATTGAGGCATCAAAATTGAATTTTGTAAAAGAATTACTTAATATTTGTTCATAACAATAATTTTCACTTGATTTCTGAGAAATTTCCTCAGATAAAGATCATATCGCAAAAAATGAAACAACCAATTAACTATGTGATAATAAATGCAAACATTTCATTTGTCCTTTCCATTTCAAAAATGTTACTTCTTGTATCTTCGTTTTCGTTTTTTCTGCTCCAAGTTTTACATTTGATGGCATCTTATCATTATGCTAATTAGTTATCAGTTAAGTATAGCTGAAAGCTTTAACTGATACTCTATTTCAAGTTCCTAAAAGCTATTAAAGTGTTAATTTGGAAGTGAAGTAAAAGTTCGTAAAGAATGAAAATTACACGTTATCATTTTTCTCAACAATAAGAATTACTCTTCACGCTCCGTTAGTTCTTGTCCAACATTACCATCTAATTCAATTTGTATTTTTGGCCGAAATAGCTTTTTAACTCTCTGAAACAAATTAATCCCATTAAAACCATAGAAAACAAAATAATAATTATAAAACAAGTAATGAATTACTTTATAAGTGACAAGTAGTAGGTATTATTAATAGATGAAAAGATGAAAGTTATAAGCTTAAATATAATTAGAAAAGATAGATTATACAATCTATAGCAAGACAGCTTGAAAAAGCTGAAGATACTGATAAAGCTAGCGAGTAAATGTGATATGACAGAATGTACTTGTGAAGTAGTTCCATCGGTTATAGTCCATAAATAGATGCCGTAAACCGGAATGCAAAGCATGGATGAAAGGGAAAGAAACCATCCAAATATATGTCCCCATAATGGGTAATCATAATTGTATGCATCTATTCGCAGTGGTTCATATTTTGCTAATCCAAAAAGCATTACACTCTGCAAACGATATGATTTTAAAATTAAATCTTATGATATATGATAGACTACCTTCCATTAATCGATTCGGATAAATTGACTGAAACAAAATAATCTATTAAATAGATAAGCTGAAGACCTAAATATCAATCAATTACAAATCCTAGTTACAATTACCCAATAAATCTCAGCTATATAATCTTTTTAAAAATGACAATCTTACAAGATAGCCATTTGTGATTATATAGCTTTATAACTCAATTTCGATAAAAAATTTTAATATATTACGATCAATTAATGATTGATGAAATTTAGGACATTTAGAATAAAATTTAAAATTGTATTCCGCATTGGCAGACGCAAAACAATACTAACCATACACACAACGGGAGTTGCAAAAACCCAACAAAATTTCCACCATCGACTCGGATAATAACCTACCATTGATCTGATATATTCATACCACTGATCGATACCTAAAAGAAACGAAGTCTGGATAAATTAAGTCTCGATACACTTTCATTTTGCATAGTGATAAAATAGCTTTACGATTCAATTTTGATGAAAAATATGATAATTTGATATGCCCTGGAATGAAGAGAATATAT